ATTATTTTGTTTATCGTAAGAAGCTATCAGTGAAGAGAAGAGATGTTGATTTCTATTCTTTGATTGAGATATAGATTAGACAGTTTGAAAAAACAAAGACAGAAAGAAATCTTCAGTGAGAAGAGTACTATTGCTTATCATCATCATCATCATCGCAATTCTGTTTAGTCTTAGCTTTAATTGATATAACAACAAATAATTGGTATCAAAGTTGAACCAATGAATATCATCAAGTTTTGTACTTGATTTGTTATCTTCAATCAAAAATCAGTCATTTTTCATGTCAGAAACAATCATTGTTCAAATCTCAATTCTTTTATCATTCGTATTCGTTTTTCTCATTTCTTAAACGATATCAAAACAAAGATCAACATTTTAATTCTTTGCTATTTTTTTTGTGTTGCTATTTTATACCCTTATTTCTTATATCTCCGACGTATACATTTCAGATAACTTTCTCTTACCATTTATTTCATCTAATTCATTCACGTTTCTCAACAAATAACGTAGAATATTTGTTGTAAATGTGCCTGTGCGTGGAAGTGAGTGTTTTTGAAAAAGTAAATTCATAACCGTACCATAGTACAGTGTTTCTTACAACTTCGCAGCATCGTTGGGTCAGTAATATCAAGCTAAAATTGTCTTACAGTATCTTCAATAACTTGGAATGTTCAAAACTTGACGTGAAACGATTGGACAAGGTACCAATTGTATTCGTATATTTGTCTCAAATGAACGCATTGAGTATTTAACGAATAATTCTTCATTAGTTGTGCCATATTGACTGCTGGTCTCCATAAGTGATAGCGTGTTTCACCTAGACCGAAATTACACATCCATATAACAAAATTTATTCTATTGCTATCGATTTAATTGCAACTCTGACTTTTATTGTTTCATTGAGAATGATTTCGGTTGCATTTGTAGTCTTTAAAAAAATATCAAGGTTACTTAGCTTTTCTAATAGCGTAATTATCAAAAGTATTTTATATTACACTGGTTGCATTCCCGTTCCACTCCACGTATTCTAGGAACACGTAATTTCTCCTTGATTAAAATACTGCTATCAAATCTAATATAACTGGCAATTTTCTTTTGAACTTGCACTGTAAAAGCATACTCTGCACAAGAATCAGTTAATTAGAAAATATTTAAGTATCGATTTTTTTCATCTTCCATAAAGAGAACGACAACTGGAATTAGACTTTCTAGTTTATATCACGTATTCGTTCTAATACTTGTACATCTAGTCGCTGTCGATATATCGATAAAGATATTATGGTTACACCAAAGTGTTTCCAATAATTTCATGTTTCCTATCTGATGAGACTCGGTTGTTCAAACATACACGTAAAAGATAACTGATCTTACAATCATCAAGTGTGAGTGTGACTGTCCAGTATAGGGTGTGGATGGTTCTGTCAACTTGAAGAGAAGTCTGACACCCAAACCCACCCTAAATACATCAAGACAAAAGAAAAGTCTTCTAATATGACATAGTGCCTAGCTACTTCATATATTACATGAATAATCAATCGATATAACTTTATAAACAACGTTCGTTGAATGTTTATAAACACTCATTTTTGAAAATATATAATAGGTTAGAAAGTTTGTTCAGCACAGCAATATCGATTTTTCCATCTTGGTTGAAATCATAACCTACTGCAGGACCTGGACTCCTACTTGTTCCATACCGTTTTCGGTTCGGAAATGTCATATTTCCATCACCAAACAGTACATCCATATGATTCGAAAGTCGACCGAGCACTGCTATATCCGTCTTGTTGTCATTATTAAAATCGCCTGATATTACATGACTTGGTTCCCTATCAACGTTGTATTTTATTTGAGCTTGAAAATCTCCATTTCCCAAGCCAAATAAAATACTAATCGTATGATCACCTAGATTAGCCACTACAAGATCTATGATCTGGTCACGATTTAAATCAACTGATATCATAAAAGTAGGGCTAGCACCACACTTAAATGTCTTATTAGTCTGGAAAGTACCATTGTCATATCCCAATAGAACAATAATATTGTGAGTGCCTAAGTTGGTGACTGCTAGATCTGGTTTGTTATCATTGTTGAAATCACCTACAACTACAGAACTCGGTCGACTAGCAGTCGCGAACTTTGTTCCATTTTGAAAGGTTCCATCTCCATTACCCAACAGCACCGTAATGGTGTCGTTGTGCTGATTGACAAGAACCAGATCTAACATCGTGTCATTATTCAAATCATGGACTACTACGAAGTTCGGTGGAGAATGAATCTTATATACTATTTCATATTCGAAGGTACCATATCCATTACCAAGAAGTAGAGTAATACTATGATCGATTGTGTTAGTCAATATCAGATCTAATTTGGTATCATTATTGAAATCACCCGTTGCCATCGAATCGGCTATCTTCTCAAGCCTATACGGCATTCGACCACGACAGGTTCCATCTCCATTACCTAGTAGCAATGAGACACTATTATCTCCCTTATTGACCACCAACACATCGATTATTGTATCGTTATTATAATCAGCTGAAGTTATCGCTACCGGATTCGCACCAGTAGCATATTTAATTTGATTTTGAAATGTTCCATCAACACCGTTAATCAACATACTGAACGTGTGTTCTCCAGAATTTGCTACTACCAGATCTATTCTACCATCGTCGTTAAAATCATCTGCTTTCATAGCATTTGGAGAATTACCAACATTATATTTTACAGGTCTCTGAAAGCTTCCATCACCATTTCCATATAACACACCGATGGAAGATTCATTCGAAAACGTTAATGCTAAATCCATCTGCCTATCATTATTGAAATCAGCCACCACTACAGCACTTGGATTCATGCCAACTTCGTAAACAATTTGAGCTTGAAACGATCCATCCCCATTACCAAGTAACAAACTAACACTATTATTTCCATAATTTACTACTACCAAATCTACTTTACCATCTTTATTGAAATCTTCACATGTCATAGAGACTGGTATTGCACCAACACTATAAGTCTGTAGATCTTCAAAAGTTCCATTTCCATAACCAATTGCCACACTGACAGTGTTATCATCTTGATTGATAACTGCCCAATCCAATTTTGCATCCTGATTAAAATCATCTGATATGACATAGACAGGTTTGGAACCAACGTCAAAAGCAATTTGAATATCAGAAAATGTACCTTCTTCGTCACCCAATACCAAGCTAACCGTATCATCGTCAGAGTTCACTACTAATATATCTATGAGTGTATCATTGTTGAAATCACCTCCGGTCACTGACACTGGATTGTCACCGACTAAATATTCGATTGAGGTTTGAAATGTTTCGTCGTCATTATCCAGCAGAACGCTAATGCTGTCATCATCTCCATTCACTACAATAATATCCATGAGTCCATCATAGTTTAGATCAACATTAAATACAGAATTTGGTGCAGCATCTGTCTGATAATAGTATTCAGTCTCATAATCATTTCTCTCATTACCAAGAAGTATATCGACACTTCGATCATCATAGTTGAGCACTGCCAAATCTACGCGTTTGACATTCGTGAAATCCCCAAATACTATAGCAACTGGTAATTTTCCAGTTTCAGAGACCATTGGTGATGGATATGGATCACTGCATTGATATACTAAAACAACAAGATTCAAATTTATTGACAGTTTTTATTCTTGTTTTCGCGTGCTGTTGAATTTAACATGAGACAATTCAGCTGTTGAACAATATGATAACATGAAAGTAGGAATCGATATGGACAATATATCATCTAGCTGGGATCTTATTCTAGGAAATTATTTTCCAGTTCACTTATTTGGAATGTACTTGGGAAAAAATGGCACCAGCTCAGGGAGAGTAAGTAGGAAGAGATAGTTTTTCCTAGTAATCGGTGTCGAAATTCATTCTGAAGATACTTGAATCCATAGATGTAGGCAACGATGTTACAAGAATTAGTATGCTTGATTAACGCTATCATTCTTCACTTAAACTTGAACTTTGAATTTTTTCAGAAGGCAAAAGTGATCTATAATGTTCTTTTCTTTAAAACGCATTCGAAATTCTTACTATTGTTATAACAACCATCTCAATAACCCCACATCCACCGGCTGGGATTAGTGTTAATGCCTAGTTAGCTTGATTGTGATAGTCCTAGATGCGTGATCAATGTCCTTGATTCAATTATTCAGAGATTCACTGTCTGCTATGACTTCAGAGGATTAGGAGCTCAGAATGAAGTAGTAGACGTTATACATGAAGCTTTTCATAGAGGATGTGACGGAAATACTCTTTTTCCAGGATACTGATATGAAGAACGTAGAAACGCACTTCAGTAAAAAATGAAAGCTTTCATGATAACAGGGTTGTTGACAGAAATTGAGACAAGAGAAAGAAGTTAATATGATTCAGGCAATAGATGATTTTTGTATACATTTTGAACTCGAAATGTTGAATGTGATTTACACCCTCTTATACGTTTATCACTTATACAATACAACTTATAGTTTTTGAATTCGACACGAAAATTGTTTTTCATGTGTTTATTAGTAATTATTAGAACTTCTTTAGAGCTTGTCAAGGCAAACTTTTGGGTGAATTGAACACAAGTTCAATCGAGTTATAGGTGTGTCGTCGAGTATCTGTCAACGCACGCTCAATGAGCCTGATATAAGGTAAAGTATGGGGGAATTGTTCTAAATGTAAATGAAAGCAACATTAAAGAGAAAGCATACTTGGAATGTTGGCTTGTTTTCGTGATCCAAGAACAGAACCAATAATGATTGCTCCGATACATAGAATTATAAATAAAGACAGAGGCACGAAGAATCGCTTCTTTTTATACCAGGAACGTCTGCAAATTACAACCAGAAGTGTTCATATCGAAAACATCCGTAGGTAAAAACAAAATGAAACTCACTTCGATTCTGGATATAGATGTGCACCTAAAAAGATAAAGTCTGATATGCAGAATGCAGAACTGATATCTTGCTAATTACCTTCGAATGGAGGCTCAAGCAAGGTTTCTTCCGGTATGACTTGTTTCAGGTGAATGATATAGAGATCAGGAGCTGGGCTCAATTGTGATTGAACTATCATATGAGTACCAGGTAGAAGAAGAATCTCTTCTTCTGTAACGAAATGTGAATGGGCACTTATTGTTCGTCCATTAATGGCTTCAACAGAAAATAGAGTTCTTGCTCCTGTAGTGCCCAAATACATGTTATTTTCCAAGACAGTCAGTGATATTGTACATGAAGAAAATGACCACCATGTTACTGGGGTACCAGGTGGAAAATCTGCGCTCAAATCTTTTGTAACTCCTCGCCAAACAGTCAACGGTGGGACACACGGAATTTTGACCAGTGCAGTCAAGAATAACTTTAGATATTTAAAATAAGGCCGAAGCTCTTCGCGATTACCGCCTTTCAAAGTGTAATTGAGCATTGAATACAGGCTTCGATGTGGTCTTTCCCATTCGATCGTGTATAGACGAACCGCAGCGCTCTCATCAATTGTCAACCCATCAGGTGGATTTTCGGGAGTTTCATCTAGTGCCAGTTGCACATAGAACGATAAGTTATGAAGAATATCGGCCAATGGAGCACATACTTCAGGAAGTGGTAACAAAGGCTCCTCAGCATACCCAATAATTGGAGAAAAATTTGTGTCAACCTTGTTCAGTTCATTGAGAGCTTGTTGAATTTCGTCTAAGACGATGCCTCCTAAAACTTGAAGTCTTCTACTCATTTGTTGATCAGTTGCAACATGATCATCCTCCATTACTTCTACTCTTTGTCTTTGATTGTCATCAGGTTGTTTTTCATTCAAATCCGCTTCTCGTTCATCTAATAGATATGATAATTGATTTTCCATCTTGCTCTTCTTGTGCTTTGCTTTTCTTTTTGACTTGACCTCATGATCCTCGTTCAACATTACTACATGGTCATTTTGCATGTTGACCTCTTCTTGGTTTATGTTTTCTTGAAGATTCGTATTTGTATCATCCAACGTGATGACAATTTGCTGATTCGAACTGTCGATACCTTCTTTTGGCACTTTGTTTTTCTTTTTCGACTGATACATCTCTTTGTCCATCGATGAGTAGTCATCCTTAAAAGTCAAAATCAAATTATTTGCTATAATGAAAACAATAAATAATAGGTGAGGCCAAAGTTTTTGATTTATTTTTCTTCTTTTCTAGCAGAAATAATAATGAATAAATAAAGCAATGCAGCTGATTTAAAACCATGTCGATCTATTTCTTTGATTATCTTCATTGAACTTACAATAGAACTGTACGAACACCGGCAATGCAGATGTTTCTTATCAATTCATTCACAAATGACTTCTGTGACACGGAAAGTCGAAGAACTACGAAAGTCACTCATGATTATTTGTTTCCAACGTTTGAGATAAGGAATGATAAATAACGTTCGCATTCATTCTAGCTTTCCGTTTTATAGACGTCGTTGCGAGCAATTTGAGAAGAAATGTATAAGATGCCGAAAACGGAAAATTAAAGCAGATTTTTTAATATAGTTAAATAGAGTATGACAAGCTGATGAAGAATAAAGATGTTTTTATTTTTTTGGAATGAGTTTTTACGAGAATAATTCCAGTTTCTTCTGATTACTCACTTTTTCTAACAAATTGTCAATTTTGTTCTCTGCTTCAAATTTTAAAACTGTTTGTTTCATATTCAGCGTAAAAAACTGAATATATAAAAGTCATTTATAAATGACTTTTCTAGATTCGATTTTTTACACAACATCTGAAACAAACAGTTTTGAAATGTAACGCAAACAAAAACATTGACCTATTTCTGCAAAAAAAAAAGTACGTCATCGGAAAAATAATGAAACTTCTCCGCGTAAGACTTAATCCAAAAGAATAAAAACAGTTATATTCATGATCAGCTCGTCCGCTCTATCTAACTATATATCAAATAAAGAGAAAACAGTTCTACATTAATTTTGCGTTTCTAGCACCTTGCATTAATTGTATTCTTATTATTTCATTGTAATTTCACTGATTTCAAACCAGCCACATTACTTCATTTATACTTTGTCAAACCTTGGCTCATAACTGCACTGAATAAGTATGAACTCAAATATATGAATCAATAGCCGATTCAAAGCTCTATAAATCTATTGACAATATCTTTTTAGAAAGCTTAACTTTAACTTTGTGATAATAGTAAAATATTTTACAATGCCAAAATCAATCAAAATCAAATATTTCTCGATTATAATTTTGATCATCTCGACAACTATTTACAAATGGGCAGTAACATGTGTCATATCATAAAATCTTAACATATAACCTTACAGAAAATTGTATAAGTATAGTATTGCACATGGTGACAATATAAATGAGTGAGCATTATCCGTCCATTATTATTTATTTATATTTAATTAACGTTCTTCTTTTCTCTTTCTTTAGTCTTTTTTTCATATACAAAATTTTAAAAAACAAGATTATTCTGAATTTTATTTTTTGTGTTTATTGTATAAATTGTGTTTTTACTGAATATTCTATGCATTGGCTTCACTTCGTCAGATTCAACAAGTATATCCTATCTAACTGACAAGAAAATGATTCCTTCTAAATCAGTGTGTTATTCAGTGTGAAAAACATGTTTGCAGAAACAATAGCTAGACGAATACTGAATCTGTGCGCACTAGACATTACTTTTTAACGATCAATAGTCAAAACATGCTTTATGTTTCACATCCTATCGTTTTTTTTTAATTATATTTGCAGATTCTGTTTAGTCTTTTTTGTATGATTTTATCAATAGTTTATATATGATGATAAGAAAATATACTTACTACCTGAATCATGTTGAAATATAAGAGTGTTGCCTTCTTATCAATCTCAATTGGTTTTGATACGATTATGTCGTTAACGAAATACTCAGTTTTTTTTCTTATGTTGACTTTCTTATTATTATCAATGAAGCGTGACGTCTTTACAAGGTAGTCAACATTTTGAGCAAGCATACAAGTATAACAGTAAGCGTATTATTTTCGCTTTTTTTTTTTTTGTTCTTCGTATTTTTTCTTTCTTTCGTTTGTTTTTATTTTCATAATAGACAAACTATGTGTTGATATTACTAGATTCAAGCGCATGATAATCGATTCTCAACAGAACATTGATC